GGGTCTCAGGTGTGGGTAATGCATGGCCCTCCAGATGTTGCTGAACTACAGCTCCCATAATCTCCAGCAATTGGCCATGCTTGCTGGGGCTGATGGAAGTTGTAGTTTCTCAACATCTGGAGGACACAATGTCTTCCTCAGCACCATTTAGACCAGGTGTGGGGACCAGGTCTAAAAGGTGCTGAGGGAGACTACAGCATAATTTAGATCAAATGGTGATAACAATTTGGGGTAGGGCAGTAGGATAGAAACACTGATTCCATTATCTTTCTTCCCTGATGAGCAACTCTGTACACACTGTGGTTTGCATTATTTCTTTTGGGTTTTGGTTTGTTTTGGGTTTTTTTTACTCTGTAGTTGACATGGGTGCAAGCAGGAGATATTGTCAATCACTATTTCGGTGATAAACAATGTGGCCCTTGTTTGTGGAGCTGTCAGTGCAGTAGTGAGTTTTTGAAGCACACAGCTTGACCAGGAGTTCTGAGAAGTGCCTATTGAGCTTTCTCAGCACTGAGGCAGTAAATGAAGGTGTCCTGTTGGGTCACTCCTCTGATTTACACACATTGTGTTTCTGTTGAAACACCTGAGGCCTTTTGTTTGAGTTTGTGAATAAGCTTCTTTCAGACACCACTAGCAATTTAAAGCCTGTGCTTTCTTTGGGTGGGAAGCAAGAACAGGAATGACTTTTTCCATTCATAGATTGGTCTTTTAAAACATAATAAATGTTGCCTCCTTTGAAGAAAAAGAAAAAGCCATACCTCTTGAAGTAAATATGAATTTTGTTATGTATATGACAAAAATTATGAATCGCTGCATCAGACCTAAGAGTCTGAATTAGTTGATGGAAGAAACAGTGTTACCCAATATATGCTACATGTATATGTATTTACCTTTAACTTTCAGGATTCTTGTGTAATTATTTCCATGTAGTGATACTGATTTCCTTCATACAAACTTTGGGTATCTTACAGGATGAGCAGAATTCAGTTTCCTTTAAGGGCTGTGCCACATTTTGTATGTTCATGTAAAAACATTTGTATACACCCATTGTATGTATTTATATAGATAAATGTGCAATGATGCGGAATAGGCCACAGCTCCCCATCTTATGTATATGCAGTGGCAAACACAGGTTGTATGTGGCATGCATCTAAGGACAGAGTCATGAAGAATATTTGAACAAGTGCATATTCTGAAGCTTTAGCATGGAAAGAAACTAAAACGGCATTGGCTCTCCCCCTGTATTTGAGACACAAGACACAGTCCATTCACTCACCTATTCTTATCTTATAGAGCACAGTGTGTTACAAGCAGAGAGTACGTGTACCAAAGTGAGGAGTTTGCAAAGCAGATAACTACAGGTGACTCAAGAAAGTTGTGTTACTTTAGGTTGACTCTTAAAATGCAAGAGAGGAAAACTGCCTTCATTCTCAAGAAAAAAGTGTTTGCAGAATGAAAAAGATTGGAGAGGGTGGATAAATATGCTGGTGGTATGGAGTACAGCAGGCACATCCAGCAGGTAGATAGTGATCTACTGGTATATCACTGGACATCTGTGGTAGATCACTGGCTCCACCCAAAGAAGCTCAACAAGTTTGGCTCCCACCCCAAAGTTCAACATTTAAATTGCCCTGCACCCCCCAAAAAGGAGCTTTCGTCCTCCCTAAAAAAGCTCTGTGAGTAGATCACAGTCTCTCGGGAGTTGGCCACCCCTGGAGTACAGGATTGGGAATTCCCGATGGCTTATTATTACTGAGTGTCATCTATTTACATTTGCTTTATTGAGAATGAGAGGACAGGTCCCTACCCCAAGGGGCATATAGTCTCACAATTGACACAAGGGAGGCAACAGATGAAGAGTAAGGAAATGGAGGGAAAGATGAACAGGGTAGAAATGTGCGATTACACACACACACTTTGGATTTGTTTCAGTAGGCTATTGGCAACAAAGAATCTTGTAGCACCTTAAAGGCTAACAGATTTATTACCGCATATGCTTTTGTAGACCAGAGGCCACATGATCAAATGTATTATGTGTTCTCTTTGGCTTGCCTGTGGGTGTACAGAGGAAAATTGTAAGCTGTGGGGGTCAAATGGCAATGAATTTCAGAAAAAAGCACTGTGACAAGTCGGTTAAGTAGGGTATTAAGACTAAATAATTGTCCCAAAAGCTTCACAGAAGAGGTGAGTTTAAAGGAGGGATCTGAAGGAAGAAATTGGGGGTGGGGATCCTCATGTAAGTTCTCTGGTGGCAGTTCCCAGTACTAGGGGCAGGAAGGAGAAAAGGACTAGGGGCAGGAAGGAGAAAAGGAGTTATTTCAGGAAGCAAGAAGGTTGTTGTAACTTGAACAGTCAAGGGTTTAGATGGATACACAGAATTGCAGCCTAAGTAGATTAATTGATATTAATGATTAAAATTTGGCCTACTTGATTGGTTGAGACAAAGAAAATGTAGGGTCTGGTATCATGCAAGCTGCACAGATTAGGCTCCATATGCTATATCTAATGCTAAAAACCTTTATAAATGAATTTTCCTTCAAATGTTCCTAAAAAACTAGCAAGCAGTTTGCTTGGGGAGGGGGGTTAAATTGCCCTACCTCTCTTTTGCATCAGGAACTTCAGGGAGCTGACATTGAAACTGACATTGAAAATTGACATTGAAACTGACATTGAAAATGGTGATTTATCTAATAACTCTGTTTTCCACAGTGCTGCAGATCATGGGCCTTGAATTTGTTTATTTTTCTGAACCCATTTCTGATGTAGGTACAGCAATTTCCAAACAAATTACGTTTGTTTGGAATCTTGACTTAAATATGTGTTGTCTACTTGCTTTAGGGTAGGGTTGAGGAATATCTGGCTTTCAAGGTCCTGTTGGGCTTCCAACTCCCCTCATACTTGATCACTGGCCATGCTCACTGGGGCTGATGGGAGTTGGAGTCGAACAATATTTGGAGGTCGGCAGGTTCTCCTGGCCTATTCTAAGGCATTTTCAGATGGCAGTTGACACCTTTTAAATGACCTGTAACCATTAGGCTGGCAAGGTTGGTGGAGTGGGAGGAAGACCTGAATCCAGGAAGGCTTCCAGAGCAGAAGACGTGTACAGCTGAGGTAGACCAGAGACAGCTGTGGACCTGTTTGTTTCCCACTCCCTTTGATACCTTTTTAAAAATAAAAAATACAGCTCAGATGAAGATTCATAGGCAAAATCTCATGGTCCTATCCTTCCATATATGGGTCAGCATATGACCAGCTTGGCCAATAAATGTTAGAGGGTTCTCATATTAAAGTCCATTTGGTGCTAAAAATGTGTGTCATTTCCAAAGTTTTACTTTTCACTTAACCAGTGCATTTTATTGAAAACTAGATGTCACTTTAAAAATAGAAAATTTTCCCCCTTCTGGTGGTCTTGCACATCTTTTAGTTTGCATAGAAAGATGAAAAATCTTCTTGCTAAAAAATATCTAAGCAAGGCCAGCTGAACCATATGACTGCTGCAGGTTCCTTGCAGTCTCCTTACTAATCCATTCTACTTCCCCCCCTTTCCCTTTGTATGCAACGTGACGTTTCCACCTTTCATTCTGCTTACATGGCAGAATTATTCACCCCATGCTGAATAGTGACTGAATAGGGAAAAGACAACAGGTGAACTGGAGCCCTTATGCTTACAGCAGGGCAAAAAATATTAATTGATTAATTGGTGTAATGAATGGATATATCTGTAATTGTTAGAAAAGGATGCAGCGTGCTGAGGGCAGATGACATCTGCGTGAATCTCTTTATACAGGCAATATCTTTGAGGCACTTTTCCAAAGAGTAAATTACCTGTGGCATTTGGTTAACAGGAACTATTACCTTCATTAAATACCATGTAAAATATTAACTAAGTTGACATATTGAGCTAGTACACACATAATGCTGCCCATCCCTTGGCTGTGGTTAAGGAAGCTAGAGCAGGCTATGGAATATACTGTATTTTTCCATCTATAAGACACCCCCCATGTATAAGACGCCTCCTATTTTGGGGGACTCTGATTTAAGAAAAGGGGGGTGGAGATCTATCCGTGTATAAGATGGCCCCAAATTTTGGACATTATTTTTTAGGGGAGAAACCTAGTCTTTTACATGGAAAAACACGGTATAAGATGGCCCCAAATTTTGGACATTATTTTTAGGGGGGAAACCTAGTATTTTACATGGAAAAACACGGTATATGCGCCCTTCCTTACATTTGTAGAACCATAGAGTTGGAGGAGCCTTTGCAGGCAAACTATTAATCTCATCCTTCCTCCACTGCCTGTCTCCAGTAATGTCTTCACAAACCTTAACTTTATTCAGTGCTGCTCATGATTTCAGTCAGTTTTAAACCCTGGTTTGGAGCAAACCTTAGTGTTGGCTATAGTTAACCTACTGTATTTACACGAGTCTAATGCTCCATCGAATCTAATGCACACCTTAATTTTTGCAACGTTAATTTGGCCAAAAAAAGGTGTGCATTAGATTCAAGTAAATACGGTAGTTTTAGACATGATGGTGACTAGCTGTGATTAAGACCTGGTGGGGAAGAGAAGGACAAATTTGTACAATTGAGAGCAAGTAGTACACCATGGCTAAGGGACTGGCTTGATAAATGCCTACATTAGCTAAAGTAAAACATGTTTTAATCAGTTAATTAATTGCTTAAAAATCCACTAAAAGCATTGACTACCTTACATTAGGACATTCTTGTGACCTATGGTATAACATGTCTTCAGATAATAAATTGAGCTGAAGTGATCTTAAGCATGACATGTGTGTTGTGTTTCCTATGCCTTCCCACCCTCCCTTCCTGCTTTTCTCTAAAGGGAATATTCAGGTTGGTAATGTGTGGATATGTGGAAGCTACTCCAATCTCTTACGGTCAGCTATAACTCTTCTGAAAACGTCAGCCCCAGAAGTTCCTGTAATCTGTGCCATCCTGTTTCATACAGTCCCATCTCATAGTTGTCCTTTCTCTGCAGTGCTCTATGCCCCGGTCTCTGTGGCTGGGTTGCTCCAACCTGGCGGACAGCATGCCCTCGCTGCGATGCCTCTATAACCCAGGGACTGGCGCACTCACAGCTTTCCAGGTACTCTCTCACTCTCTCTCTCTCTGGGTGTGTCTCCTGCTTGTGCTTTTGCTTGCTTTCATTAACTTTTCCATTAGTAGTAGTAGTAATAGTGGTAGTATTTGCTTCATAGTTGTGTTTCCTTTATGTTGTCCAGACTAATAAATGCCATCCACATCTTGTATAGAACCACAGTTGACCGCTAACGCAGCAATGTCAAATACAGATAGAATTGGAAACTTTTTGCTCAGCTCTAGTAAGAATGCTTGGCCCAAAATGCAAGATTTGGTTATTACTTGGTTATGCCTTAATTTTACTACTCTACATTTAGTGGGTGGTGGAGGTGGTATGTATTTGATTATTAAATATGGATAAGAATACACTGACAGTTGGTAACTTGTATTTAAGCCACTTGAGTCTCTGGCCTATTGCTGCTGTCATGTTCACGTACTTTTTCCATCTAGCTGCATGAAAAAGTGGTGATGCTATAGAAGAAAGTAGGCCTGGGGGGCGGGAATAGAAGCAGAACAGCAAACTTTGGTCTTTTAATTTTTGCTTCTTCCCACCTACATTAAGTACTTATGGGGGTGTTTTTTCTGTTTCTTGGAACTGAGGCTCAGGGGCTTCCTCACTAGTCCCCACCCCCTAGTTCACAAAACCAGTTTTCTTTCTTTCAAAAAAAGATCTAGGCTTTCATTTACCTGGACTAGTTCTATAGGTAGCCAAGTTGTTCTGCTGTTCAGGAAATGTGTGTGGCTTGTTCTTTCAGACGTTATCATATGCATCAGAGGATAAGAGCAATTATGCCATTTCAAATAAGAAGAATCCATGAGAATTGTCTTTGATTCCAACCATCAATTCCAAATCCATAACACCAAAACAAAAAAATCCTCCAGCAGGTTTCTTGTTGACTTATATTTTCAAAGAATTTACATCCTGCTTTCCTATCTAGCAATACTTTAAACAGATCATTAAAATACAGTTTCAGATCAGCAGATACAAATGCCAAAGGGGCAGTGGAACTGCAAAGTTTTCATTGTTGGTCGAAAGGAAAGCAGAGATGGGAGTTAAGCAGCCTTCTCTCAGGGGGATATTTCTTTACCCTCGTCACAACTGAAAAGGTCCTGTGTATCTTCATGCTGAGTCATGAGGACCTACATATAAAACTGTTGTGCTAAAAATCTTTCAGAATTTATAGGAGTCTTGGTAGTTGTCCTTGAAGTAGGGTTACAGACTCCCAATTCATGCCTTTTAGGGGGTCAGTATTCATGGTTACAGAGAGATGGACGCCCAGATCATGCAAAGAGCCTTCACAGGCAGATTGTTACTCAGAAGAAGAAAAAATGGTTTATTGTCATTCTCATAGACAAGAACAGAGAATTTCTAGGCTGATCACATTTATGTCCTGTTATTGATCACATTTCTAGGCTGATCACATTTATGTCACTACTAGGAATTCTATAACACTACACAGCATTAACACTGGACCAGTTTTGACTAAGCCCATATTTTTAACTTATCTCAAACTTTTTCAGTTACACCAGACTTGGCATTTAATTAATATTACAAAATGATATTAATCCTGGTCCACTCTTCATAATCCCAGCTCACGCCTTTGAAACCACTGAATTAGAGGTATGCATGAAATAAATAGTACCATGGTGACTATTTAAGGATCTGTATAAGGAGGCTATCCTGGAAGTTGATCGTAGCCAGTTGTGAGGACCTAAGTGACTGTATGTAGACTCACAAGAAAAATAGGCATGGTTTGTTGCTTCAGAACAATAAATATTCTGTAGAAATAGCAGTGCAGAGTACCAGCACCTGGGGGAACCTTATGGAATAGCTGCTCCAGCATGCTCCTAAGGCTCATGAATCATCGTGACAGTCAGCTGGATGAGTCCGTAGGTTTGTGGCCAAGAACTTGTGATTTGACTTAATTTTAAATCTGGCTTCTTGCCTTGAGTGATGTGAAAATAGTGCTGATGCATCTTAGATCATTCTGCAGCAGCTCTCCTAGTTGAGCCAATACTTGGCATTGATGGACTCCGAATGCACCCTCTCAGTATTCCGGACATCTGGCAAAGCTGTAGGGAATAGGAAGAGGAGGGTGTATCCTTTTTTCATTTTCAGAAATGGAGGCCAAATTTAAATTTCCTCAGTACATTTCTTCCTTGATATGTACAGTTTGAAAGAATTCAGGTTACACTTTCCCCAAACTAGAATTCAGAGGTAAGGGATTTGGTAGCATGTTGAGTATATTGCTTGTCTGCTAAAACTAATAACACATTTTTCCTGTTGGGTTGCTTGTTCTGTTCCTGCCAAAACTATATGTGTGTTTTAATTTCCAGAGATGGCTGTGACAAGCTAGATGTATATGCATTATTTGCAATATCAGTATATTCTGGTTAAAAGGGGAAATCTGCTTATATGCAGCAGGCAATAAGAAATTACTGTCCAGTTTGGAAGGTCAGAGAGATTCTAAACTGTAGCAAAAACAACAGAGCTAGAAACACAGCTGTCAGATGACTTTGCTTGAGCTCCACCTGTTGCTTCAAATCCCCAAAGGGGAAGTGAAATCTACAGAGTTTCTGCTATGCTGAGAAGCTATGCTGAAGACTTTCCTCATTGTAAAGGTTGATTACAGCTTTCAGAATCATTGCTCTATCTTGTTGACCACTCTGAGAACAGGATGCTTGGCCAATTGGGCCATTGTTCTGATCCAGCAGGGCTCTTGCACTTTGAACAGGCTTTTAGGTGAGGGAGGTTTCATCCTGTCAACTGATAGTGGATACTATGAAAGTGGCAAAGCAGAATTATAAGGGTCCAGTACCAAATTATATTTCAAATGTAGCAGTTTTCTTCTGAATTTGTAGAATATTCCTTTGTGATTATGGCTATTGTACTTTCTCTTGTGCATATTTATATTCAGCAAATCCCTGTTGGCATGGTGTATCACAGACTAAACAGGCATATGGTTGTTTGTTCATTTTATTCCATAAAATTAAATGCCACCTGATTGTAAAAAAAGCCCCATGTTCTGCTGTGTATATTTCTTTTTTTTTAATGATATTTATTAAAGTTTAACAATTACAGAAAAGCTGTGTATATTTCTAAGGCTCCAATAGTAGTGAAGCATCTTTTGAAGAAATTCTTTAGTGACCTGTTGTGATAAACAGAATGCTTTCTGCCCATAATTGGAAGCAAGATGACTCCATAGTCAGAAGATCCATTGACCTAGGAGAAACACAGTGGATTGAAATCCATAGAGTATTTCCAAGCCTGGTTTTGCTCCATTGGTTCTAGTAAAGTACCTGCAGGATATTTACAGTGAGATTATAAAACCAAATCTTAATTTTGAGGGCTGGCAGCAAAAGCCCATGGCTTCAGCCCCCTAGCTGGTGGCTAGCTTGTCCCCCATTTATGAATGTACTTAGGTGGCTCCCAACTGTTTACAAGACAGCAGAGGTGAGATCTTTGATTGACAAGTTAGAAATGCATTCGATCATTCCCTCTGCCAGTCTCTGGTTCATGCTGTTAAAAATGTCAGCCTCTCCAAGTTTGAATGGCAGCCCGAGGGCCTCCAAAGCTTTTTGTTTTCTGAGATGGAAACACAAATTGGATGTGTGCCTGAGCGCTCCATCCTGGGCTGTAATTTCATCTTTTAGCTAAGAACCACAAGGTACATGAACAAAGCACCCTGTAAACAATAATACTGGAGAAAAAAATAAACAAGGTCGTGTTTCTGGTACGTTGATCCACTGGTGTCCTGACCTCTATCACGTTGAACATCTCCTCTCTGATTGCTGCTCCCTCTGGCATTTCAATGAGAGGGAGAGGCTGACATAGGGGATTTACCAAGATTTAAAGTTGCAGTGGTGGTGTTCATTCCTTGTATTGGCTATGAAATATTGAACTGCCATAGTCTGTGACACTCAGTTTTAAGCAATGGTCCTAGTTTGAAAGGGACACTCTTCAGGCTGGGAGATTCTCTTTTTTCTTCCTCCCCCCACAAACCCCTCTCCCTCCCTGACAGAACTGAAAGTAGTAACTGTGAAGGACAGAAATGAAACGAAATCATCAGTTTGATATTCGTACCTAAACACATCCATGGTGGCTAAAGATTAGCTGTACAGGAGTTTATAGAGCAAAATGAATGAATACATTGCCCGAGGGAATGTATAGTTGAGATGTGTGTGCTGTGCTATTTAAAGAATAATAAAGGGGGGGAGGTTTATACCCTTTACTTTTACCCTCTCTGAAATTCACTAGGCAGACATGACACATGTGAAAGGTACACTGCAAGCAAGTGATTATCTAGCACTTCCAGTGGGGTGGGTGGGATTCCTTCCTTCCTTCTTGCCTTCCTTCCTTCCTTCCTGTTCAGTTCTCACTCTTGCCAAGCTAGGACAAGTGCAAGAATCCCTGCAGTATCTGTTGGCATAACTTGTTATATGTTGCAAGAAAAGCTGAGTAAAGTGCACCTACTATAGCATCTGTGTTTGTGTCAAAAACTGAAGATGCAAAAAGTTGTACAGAAGCTACTGATCTCTGCTGCTACTTCCCTGACCTTGACTACTGTCTGTATAAAAGGTAAAGGGACCCCTGACCATTAGGTCAAGTCGCGGAAGACTCTGAGGTTGCAGCGCTCATCTCACTTTACTGGCCATGGGAGCCGGCGTACAGCTTCCAGGTCATGTGGCCAGCATGACTAAGCTGCTTCGGGCGAACCAGAGCAGTGCACGGAAGCACCGTTTACCTTCCCACCAGAGCAGTACCTATTTATCTACTTGCACTTGACGTGCTTTCAAACTGCTAGGTGGACAGGAGCAGGGACCGAGTAACGGGAGCTCACCCCGTCACGGGGATTCGAACCACCAACCTTCTGATCGGCAAGCCCTAGGCTCTGTGGTTTAACCCACAGCGCCACCCGCGTCCCTCTGTATACTGGCTCGCAACCAAGAGTTCCATGTTATATGTCATTCCATAGTGAGGGAATCTTCTGTAGTATTCAGTTTTGC